GGCGCGGCGGCCGGTGAGGCAGCGTACGGGTACTGCTCGTAGGCTGCAGCGGCGGCGGCCGCCGAGTACTGGGCGTAGGCAGCTCCGGTGTAGTCGATGTAGGGTGTAGTGGAAGCGGCGGCTGCTGCGGGTTGCACGTGGGGAATTACCACTCCTGGCTGCACAAAGGCCTGTGGATAGACATAGTGAGCAGGTATCCTGTTGAAAGATGGGAGAGGGAGTTAGAGTTGGTAGGCGAGCCGGCGCCTGAGCGTCACATCCATACTTCCGAACTAAAACAAACTCAATTTAGTTGTTGTTATGTGCATAGGGTTGCCACAATAACTAGACTGAACGGACCGATTCCCGGTTCACTGGCCCAAAGAGCAGCATCGCTCCACAGCACAGCATTAGGGCCCAGCTACAGGGGAGTGTTCAGTGTTCCTTGAGAATATTATGCCTAATGCAATTAGAATCTTCAGAAGGACCAGGATTACTGGTGTCAGTTTTAAGACGACTCTAAAGGAGTAAGCTTGATTACTCCATCTGGAAAATTGCGGTATTTCTTTTTCAAAACACCTGTAAGTAATTTTTATTACCCTGCTTCTCACTTATCTGGTCGACTCTTAGTAAAATTATTTCCTGCAATACATTTATAATTAGTAACTGAGCGGTTTGACAGCATCGCTATAATGAGCTTGACAATAGCAACAAAATGGCTGAACCCTGACTTTATGTAAAAGTCTTCTCAGGGAAGGAGGGAAGAGTGTATTGTGGCAACCCTACTTAAGTTGCTATGCAGACTCAGCACACATTAATTTCTCTGCAACCTCAGTCACCCTTATTAAAAATAAGGAAAAAAAAAAACAACAACAAAAAAACCAACACAGGCGACAAAGGAGTTTAAATGAAAAGTTCACAAGTGTGGTAAACACAGCAAGAATCACACTTTCCAAACGAACGAATAGTGCAGCTCACTCCGTCACAAGAGGCCATTGAGGGGAAGCTACAGAGATGCTATTAAATCCATAACAGTGACTCCTAAGTACATGTGCATCACACTTCTATAAAGTTCGTACGGACACAAGGGTCAAACCTGTTTGATTATCAGGCCACTGATGTCCTGTTTTGTGCCAGCTTGTTTATTTCTATGCAAGACATACAGCATAGAGTTTTTTGGGAGGTGGGCATAAGATTAAATCTAAATAGATCTCGTGCTTAACAAAAGTAAAAAAAAAAACAGATGTACAGCTTAAGAAATAACCATTCTGAACATATCAGTACGCACTTTCCCATCTTCTCCGAGTCACAAAGCTTGCTTCCTTGGCTTGTTTACTTAGCTCTTTAGTTTTGAAAACTGGTCATATTGTTGTCTTAGCACACAAGTGTACATTCAAGTTCATCTCATAGTTGTGTTTTATCATATAACAGGAATTCTAAAAACAATATACTCTGTATCATTCTCATTTTACATTCATAACCCTGTCTTGCATCTAGATTTCCACGGAGAAGTCGTTCATATACACAACTCCTTTCTGGTCAGAAAATCTTTATAAATGAATAAAAAATTGCTTGGAGATTCACTACAATTTCGTACTGAATTTTAGCTTTACAGACAACTCTAAAGACTATGCCAATATTTTAGTGCACTACAAGCACAGATGCAAATTCCAACAGTAAAAACTGTCCTCTCTTCTCCAAATTAATGATGTAATGGAAAGGTTTTTCTTTGTTTCAGTTTTAAAATAACTTCAATATTTACTCAAGTGGTCAACAAGGAAACATTTCAATCAAAAGAAACGCTGTCAACTAGATTAATAGCAAAATATAGTTTAAAATGTGACAGTCAGGCTTTAGAAGACCCTAGTTTTTGTTACAAGAAATAAAGAGCTCAACTGATTGAAAAAGGAATATTAGCAGAGAGAAATGTTCAGCTGCCGTGTTTAAGACATGAAAATCACAATCATAAAAACCCAACACGTCAATGAAAATGTCATTTTCTACTATGTGAAGGAACAAATGTAGAAAAAATAAATAAAAAAAAGAGTGGCAAATAGGAATTGGGAAGAAAAAGAAAACATAAAACCTTAAGCTGGATTTTTAACACTCACCTAATTTATGAAGTGATTAGCCAGAAGCGCATTTGAAGCATACTTAGGCTGGCTCTGTACATTTAAATACACATCATTACCTGACCTCTCCATACAAAATGGATGAGCATAAACAAGCATTTTATATTGGTCACCGATTAAGTACACTCCTAATAAATATAATGCTTTCTTAAGAACAGAGGTATAAAACCAAATTTGAATTCACCAAGAGCCTCTTCTGCATCACTTAAGAGTCACTTTAACATCACATCAAAGGAATCTTTACATACAGCATTTATGAAAAAGAGTAATTCTAACAGAAGAGACAGTAAGCAAGCTTATCTAGCTGCTTGTGTTGACTTGAACTGATGTTACGGAGATTTTCTGAAGACAGGAAGACACTTGGCCATATCCTTGAACAAGACAGAAAGATACATGTGCTCCCACTTAAAACTCTTGTGACTTGTTTTATTTAAGCCAAGTAGCTAACAGGTGGTGAAGTTATGAAACATTATCTGTTTGCCACTTCTTACCCTACAATAAACATAAACCCTGTGCAGGCTGCTCACCACCATGCCATTTCACACATGATGATTGACAGCATAAGCTGCAGTGGGGCTATTTTTTATCATCTGTCATGCTACAACTGTTTTGAGTCGAGTAAAATGGCTTTATATGGCCAAAGTAAATTTCTACCTACTGCAGAGGCCAGCACATGTAGCTCTCAGCCATTCAGAGCCCCACTGCTTTTAAGACTCTGCTAGGTCAAAAGTAGAAAAAGCAATTCCTGGTTATGCTGGATATCCTTAGTATCCTTAATTTTAAATAAAAGTTGCTGCTTTACTTTTAAGAGTAAGAGTGTGAGAATTTGCATGGCTTAAACTTTCTTTCCTGGCAGTAGTTTCTATTTTGCAACATATATTTATTGTTTTATGCTTCTGCAATAAAGGAAAACAGAAGCCACATTTAACTTCAGCAGTAAGCATAGTTTTGGGATATTCAAAATCAAATGACATACACTTATGCCACGTGCATTACGACCTTCATTGTTGTTACAAGATTTGTTTTTAAACAAGACCTGAAAAAGAATCCTACAAACAAAAATAAAGGGAAATAGAATTGTTTCAAAGGAAAGAAAAGATTTTCTACACTAATGCAGAGAGCTGTGGAATACAGAAATTCAGCAGTAGCACATTGTTGACTCTCAACATTAAATTCTAGTGAAAATAGATGTTCCACTTTGAACAAAATGTTTTGCTTTGGCCCTTACATGGCATCATCTGGTTTTCTAAGTGTAACTGAAGAGCGAGTAGATTTTCATCAATGCTCAGCTTTCCTTACAGCAGAAATAGGTTATGTAAACATCAAGGCATACAAGTCCCTTAATATTCTTCCTTTTATATTTGTGCCTGATACCATTAAGAGGATACTTAGTGTTCTGCATTTAACTGCCAATTATTCCGGCTTCATTTCCTCTTTCCAGATTATCTGTAGTCTAGTATTGTACAGGTCTTTTGATCATCAACTCAAGAAAGGGCTTTTCCATCTCTTAAGAAAAGCAGAATTGCCTGACTCTTGGAAGATAATACCAAGCAAGTAGTATCAGCTAACTGTTTGATAATGAACTCAATAACTGTGGAGTTAACTCTGTTTTTACTAGAAACAGTGGGCATGTTCTAATTTTGATCAAGGTAAATATTTTGGACAGAAAATAAAGGGTAAAAAATCTCTCCAATAGAATAAGTCATATCCTACAGCAGTACCTCTGCATAACCTCATAGTTTCCCACCAATATTAAATTACAGATGCAAAATGTGAAAAGCTATTTTAGGAGGAAAAGTCATTTCCCCCCTCCATAAACTCCTGTCAAATTCATAGTATTTTAAGAAACAATCTTGAAAACAGAGCTGTGTAGATCACCATGATCAAACAGCTTTCTACGAAACACACCAAGAGTAAGACAGATGCTGAATGTAGAGCATATTACTTGGTAGATTAATTGATCTCTGCAGCACTGAATAAAGAAAAATTTCCAACATTTTATTTAGCTTCATGCATTGAAGCTAATCTAGTTTCTGGCTCCCTCCACCACAATAACGTTGTACTTAATTCACAGTATTGTACTTCTTCATCTTCTCAGTAAAAGTAATCTAACATAATTTGCCAATGTTTTTCAGTTTCTTGTTTGATAGGTGGGGAACCATATCAAAACACTGCTGACCATACCAGAATATGGCAGCAGCTCACTGACTTGCCATCTGGTAGGAAAAAAACCCACAAAACAAACCACAAAACAGCTGGAGGTTTTTTGTATGGATGAGCAGAGTATTGGTAACGAATCACCACCATGACCCATTTTACACAGCGTATTAGTAAAGTGTAGTTTTAAAAAGTGCAACTGCACAGAAGGAAGAAAGGCTTTAAGGTGGCCATATATTTCAGTGCAATGCATGTCACATCCTTTAAGAGTGAACTCTTCAATAAAGACAGATTCAAGCAACAATCCCTCTTATTTCAAAGGAATATAGTGAATGAAGATGTTTATTCACCCTAATGAATGCTGTTCTTCTTAATCTGAATTACACTCTTTTGAAAAAGTACAGGTCATTGGAAATTTTGAGGAGGAAGTAGGATTCATAATCTCCTTTGTTTGCACATACCAAAAAAAAAAAGGCAAAAGACAAGGATTAAAAATGACCAATTTGTATACACATGACCCTGCAACTGACATTCCCTTTCTTCAGATTGATGTACATCGCATTAGAAATAAAACATTATTCAGCTTGCTGGAAGAACTTCCCTGACCTAAACACAATTTACATGATCTATTGTTGGCTCTGGGTAAGGAAAGCAAGAAAAGAGCCCTACATTTGCACAGTCCTTTTAGCAACGGATTGCCACAGGTTCTCCTTTTTCTGTTGTGCTCAGCAAATCCCCAGTCTCTCCACGGCTGATCCTGGGGCAGTCCACTGGTTCCTCTGTGCAACAAGTGCTTTAGCAGCTCTGGAGGCAACGTGCTCCACCTTCTCCTGACCTCAGTGCAGGCATCATAAACTGATGACTGCATACACACTGTCGTTTCCTCTGACTTCAAAGAAGTCAAACAAAATACAGCAGAGGACAATCGAAAGAATGAAAATAAGAGGATAAAAAGTTTTCCACAACCTCCCCACAGGTCTCAGAAGAATCAACATTCTCTTTTAGAAGTGCGTGAGGTATATAGGAAAACCTTTTTCCTATGGTTTTGAGGACAAGAACTGTTCCCTGCCATTTTGATAAATTAAGCTGCTGAGGAGCTATCATTGCTTAATAAAGAGCTAGGTACGATATTCTAAAGCTATTCTAGTCAAATAAACAAAATGCATTTGTGACACATTTTCCCTACTTTGTTGTTAGCTTCATTAGCAAAATGCATTATTTTGCAATGAGTTTCTCAGTCAGTGTGCATTAGTGAAGTGACACTGTATGGAAAGTTTAAAGCAGACTTCACCTCCTAATTATATGCCTGTAAGAAGCAAGAGTTAGATCTGCTTAGGAATAGTACACTAAAGTAAAGGAGAAATGCACTACCTATTAAAGAGAAAAGATATCTCAAATTAGAAAGCCCAAATGGACGCACATTGTTAATAAGGAGCTCCACACCCCTCCCAAGAACAAACCCCCCCACAAATTATGAACATGCAAGCAATACGTTGATTCACTTAAAAATCAAGAAGTCACACAATTTAGCACTCACTACAAAATATGGTTAAAAAAGTCACAGGCTACAGCTTGAAAGCAAGGGAAAAAAAAAAAAAGCAAATTTTAGCACTCACTAAAAAATAGGTTAAAAAAAGTCACGGGCTACAGTTTAAAAGAAGGGAAAAAAAAAAAAAGGCCCTTTGCTCCCCATGGCAAAGTTCAACAACAAAACCAAAATTAAAAAGACCCCCCAAAAAAACTTTCACTACAGCTCTTTCAATTAAATAAAAGCACACAGTTTAGCTATCAACACCACTTCATTACTGTAATAAATAAAAAAATAAAAAAAGCACACGGAGGTCTATTGACTATATGAAAAAAAACATACATGCATCGTTAATCACCATTTTAGCTTGTTTGTGTTTGAGTCTACTGGTTACAGAGTTTAATTCCAAACAGAACTATTCCACCTCTTATCATCATATCCTTCTGATCAGTTATCTTAACTGTAAACGATCCCTGTCAGATTAGAAAGAGATAAATAACATTGAGTCAAGCTGAAAAAAGAGAAATGGGGCACAGCAATCTTGCATCAAGTCATACCTCCTTGTTTTATCATAGGGTCATACGGGACTGGACCGCTTAGGTGGAAGGGACACGTCCCACACAACTTGACTCAGCTGCGGCATTAGAACATGACCGACAAGGTGAGCGCATTTACGGGTATACATTTGAAAGTCTGAAAACTTTGCAATTGCTGGTGAGTTTACAAGGCTGCTACTGCAAGAGGCCTTCAAGGATCATACTTTGTCTTTCCTTTTTTTTTTTTTTTCTTTTATTTTTTTTAAAAAAATTATTTTTCCTCCCCTGTTTGAGATCCCACTGAACAGACTTACCCAAAAGGCCTCTGTATCAGAGCTGGATGAAGTTGCTGGACACCAAAGGCAAAACCTACGAACAAAAAGCACGTTATATTCTCTGTATGGGTGTTCTTTTGGCCACTTTTATGCCATATAAATACACGCACACCAATGCAGAGCAACAGCCTTCAGTAACCACCTCCAGTGACAGTGTCTGAGTGGCTGTACAATCACCAATCGGAAAGTAAAATATATCAGTTCGGATATACGCGCAGACGTACACGTGCACAAAACTTAAAATACTAAAGCACATGCTTTCCTAGAGATGTTCAGAATGACTTTTTCTACATAAAAAGCACAGCATTTTCATTCACATTTTGTGCTCCATTTTGGTCCCTAACTTTAGCCTCTTAAGGATGATATTGTACTTTCTATTGATCAGCGTATTTGTATTAACCCATTGTACTTTCTACAGACTTCACGTTCAAGCCATCTCCACTTATGAGGACTTAGCATGGGAGTAAAACCCTAAGTTCATCTCTGTTCTTCAAACAGCCCAAGTTTAACCCCCTTCTTCCCTTGATGGGCACCTAATTATTCGCACAAGTGTTCCTCAGGCTAAGCACAGAGGAATTCAGAGCACTTTTATTTTTTTTAAAAAAATTATTTTTCCTCCCCTGTTTGAGATCCCACTGAACAGACTTACCCAAAAGGCCTCTGTATCAGAGCTGGATGAAGTTGCTGGACACCAAAGGCAAAACCTACGAACAAAAAGCACGTTATATTCTCTGTATGGGTGTTCTTTTGGCCACTTTTATGCCATATAAATACACGCACACCAATGCAGAGCAACAGCCTTCAGTAACCACCTCCAGTGACAGTGTCTGAGTGGCTGTACAATCACCAATCGGAAAGTAAAATATATCAGTTCGGATATACGCGCAGACGTACACGTGCACAAAACTTAAAATACTAAAGCACATGCTTTCCTAGAGATGTTCAGAATGACTTTTTCTACATAAAAAGCACAGCATTTTCATTCACATTTTGTGCTCCATTTTGGTCCCTAACTTTAGCCTCTTAAGGATGATATTGTACTTTCTATTGATCAGCGTATTTGTATTAACCCATTGTACTTTCTACAGACTTCACGTTCAAGCCATCTCCACTTATGAGGACTTAGCATGGGAGTAAAACCCTAAGTTCATCTCTGTTCTTCAAACAGCCCAAGTTTAACCCCCTTCTTCCCTTGATGGGCACCTAATTATTCGCACAAGTGTTCCTCAGGCTAAGCACAGAGGAATTCAGAGCAGCCTCTGCATCGTGCGCACGTCCCTTGGCACTCTTCTTCCTCTCGCTGTAAAGCAGCAGTTTGGGAAGTGCCCAGGACATCAGATTGGCTCAGATGTGATCTGAGGAAGAGCCCTTTCATTTTGAAGTCTGCATAATAGCTCCCATCTTCTCGAGGAGTCTGCATTAAGATATTGTTTGTATGAATAAGACCGCACACATTGGAAGCGATTCATTCCTAGGCCAGTCTTTCCCTGCAACGATACTGTAAATGGTCAGCGCCGCCGCACTCCCAGCAGCAGGAACAGCCAACTGAGTGTCTGAGCTGTGGAAGTCTTCCTGGGGAACTGCAGATGTTTTATCTCTGATTGCTTTTATGTTTTTATTTTATGGTATGGGGTGGTTTTTTTTTTGTTTGTTTGTTTAAATCAGTCACGTGAAAAATGGGCAGAAAGCTACCACATGCTGCCTTTAAATATCAAAACCAAAGCACACCCGAACAAACAGTCAAGAGTACTGCAGGAAAAGTGCTGGGCAGCTCCACCTGCTTTTTGTTTCAAAGTTTCGCTCTCTTCAGAAACGTGAGGAACACAAGAGAGAGAAAAGCCCTCCAAGGGCCGCTTCCTCACCTGGCTGCATGATCCGCGGCTTGGCCCCCAGGTACGCCAGGTTCACGTTGGCTTTCCTGCCGTCGATGATGGGGTTGGGGTCTTTACAAGCCCTTTCAGCAGCAGCTCTGTCAGCCATGGTGACCTTAACGGGCGACGCGGCGCGTTAGACCCCGCTCCGCGCCGACGGGGACGCCTCTTGCCCTCCTCAGCGACCCACCTGCCCCTCGGTGGGCGCT